AAAAAAAAACAAAAACACATTTTGAACAGCTACGAGAGACTAATAAACACTTTAGTTTTAATAAAAACGATGTTCAGAGATATTGTACTCGTATTATTACTATACCAAAAGTGATCCATTAAAATAAAAATGTCTATTTTCTATATCGTCTTATTGATTTGTAAAATTGGTTAACTTCTTCACCTTAGTTTACATTCATAATCTACTCTAGCAAGCTGATAGTAAAATAATTGCTTTTAAATTTCTAACAACTGGTATTAATATTTTTTTGATTTCATTAAAAACTAAGTCAATAAATGAACAGTAATATTATTTTTAACATGGAATACAAAAAAAACAAATAATAATAATGAATAATACCGATTTAGTTCAATTTTAGTTATTATTTAATTAAATGAGTAAAATACAACACATTATTTACCTATTTAAACTTGACGAACTCTTTAACAAAGTGTATAGTTATTTCATTAGTAGGAAATAAATATATTTAAAGAGAAATATCAATTATAATAATAATACAAATTATGAAAAAAATAAAAATTATATTAAGTACTATTTTAAACAATTATTATTTTTTTTTCTTTTATTAGGAGGAGCTTGCGGAAACATAGGCTATTCGGTGTGGGGTGGTACAATTGGGGGTTCTCTTGCATATTTTTAGTTGGTTAGTATGTTGGTAGGGTTGAAACACGTGTTTGTGTATGTGAGGCAAGGATATGTTGCTAAGAATCCTGGTGGTCTCCCATCCAGGATCTACTAACGCCTGCCAGTATGTACACTCAGAGCGTTTTCTCCGACTGAGTGTACGACCCCGCCTCACAGTTATTACTAAAACACCCAAACAGAAACCCTTTTGAATAATTATAAACGATTTTGATATTTGTATAAAAGTCACATATTTTTACATGATATTATTTTATGACAAATATGATTTATTTATAATTTATATATTTACACAAAGGTTTTACATTTTATTTATTTATATAATTAGAAAAAACTCCATTTTCAAAAACATAAGTAAAAATATAACAGTTCAAGGTATAAAGTGAATTACAGATATGTGCGTACACTGTATAGTGGGAGAATGATTTTATATAGAATACAAAAAAATAAAATGAATAATAATAATAAGGTATATCTATACTTACACTGAATACACATAGTAAGATTTATAATTTTCTAAAATAAAAAGTATTGCAAATGTAATCATAGTTATATCAAGCTAGGAAATCGTAGTAAATTGAAGTATTATTATTACCTCTCTAAAATCAAGACACCTTTAGTAATAACTCTGTTTATCAAAACAATGAACTCAAATTATAATTACTTAAAAAATATATACTCATATGTTTAAGTGCAAGACAACCATATAAACAAATTATTTGATTCAAGCTTTGATACACAGGTAAAAAATATATGATTCTCTAAATTTAGTTACCTAATTATAGCTTGTTAAAGCTTAAGCGAAAGTGGAGTGATACGCGGTTACCCCTCGAAATGTTGGCCACTCGTCTAAACTTTAAATACTTATAACTTATAAACTACTTATCCTAAATTCGATGCTTGAGTATCGAAATACTCAGAAAAATATTCTGCTTTCAAAGATGAAATGAAAACTGTACGTTGTAATTCAAAAAAGTAAAAAAAAACTTAAAAAATCATAAGAAAAAACATTTAAAAATACAATTTTTTAATAAACTGGGGTTTTGTAACTACTTCAAACCATGTAAAAAAACACCAAAGTAATAATTAGCAACAGACGCTTACATATTTTAAATAGAAAAAAGACGTAGGAATATGATATTATTATTCAATCCCTTATCGCCTTATTATGTGCGATTTAACAAGAATATGGCTTTTATTTTTAAACAAAATTCCATCGACATATTTAATTTTATTAATATTCAATATAATACGCCTCATATTTGGCTTACTAACTAATAATTAATAATTTAACTATTGATTTTGGCATCATAAATGTATATTATATTATTAAATCAAACTTATTGGCAACTAGTGCTATCGGTTAGATTTTTTTCTTATCGTCACATTGTCTATACTTCTGTATTGTATGTACCATGTACGCATACGTATGTGAAATCAATATTTTGATCAATGTTCCAATACAAAATTTTTGATTGAGACACTTCTTTAACAACAGTACACAGACTCTACAATTTTAGATAAACTTAATTATCATAATATCATAATATTATGATAAAATTAGCTAAGATCACTTAACGGTAAAATGTGCTTTATTTAAAAGTAAATTAATGTTTTCATTAAAAGTGTTATTCAATATTTTTTCAGTCTTAATATAGCATTAATAGCATAAATAGCATTAGTACCATTATTAGTACCATCTCCACCTATTACTATCATCACTATTATCACCTATTATTATAATTATATTACATTTTATATGTTTTCAAATTTCTAGAAATATTGCATTTAATAATTCATAAGACCCGTGATTAGAAATGCGAAAATAAAATTTAATACAATATAATAATAATATGAGAGTGCATATTATAGTAAAGTCAATTTAATCCGAGGCTCTTATTAAACACCTCTTACTTACCGTCACTCACAAACCTCGTTGATTAATTATTTTAAGGAACCTAAGTAATTTTTAATACCGAAATAAAGTTTCGAGAACAAAATTAAAAAAAATAGATTCCACTATTGAGAATCTGAATAAGACAGCTATTACGGTGACACGAGCACACGACTAGAATAAATATTATTTATTTCATTGCTTTAAAGAAATAGAATTCATAAAAACATTTTCGGAATTTATTTATGAATTCTTGAAAGTTATAAATTGTGTCAGATAGTGGTGATATGTGGTACTTGTGTGATTTAACAGCTGTATAAAAATGTGATAAGTGTTATCAACATTAAATAATTTATGTATCCGTCCCCTACCACAAGTACCTATCCAGGCTGCAACATGATTTATATACTATTTGGACATTTTGGGTTACATTATTTTTTACACTGATAAACACATACATTATTATGAATGTTATTTTTATTTTTAAAGTTTATTTTGTTGTTGTATAATGTTTTATGTTATGTCAAATAATATGTATAACTTATATGCGCACATCTAAGTTACATTATCTTCATGTAATTGTATTATGTTAATAGCTTTAAAGCTTATTTATACAAGCAGGGCAATTTTATTCTATTCCTTGATAAATTATTTTTACTGTATATCTTGGGTAACACACAGCATCTTGTTTATTTTATCCAGTTAACCTTAACAGTCTATAATTATTTCACAATTTTTCTTTTATATCATAGATCATTTTTTCTTATATTATATCTTTGAGTATACAATTTAATATACCATAATAATATAAAATAAAACATGTTTAAGTTTTCATTTTATCTTCTAGAAATTTATGATCGCTCAATACATTTTTGATATTAGTTGATTTAAAAACAATGCAACATTACTTACAAAATAACTAAAAAAAAAAATATGATTATTATATATTTATTGATTGTTGATTTCTTATAAATATTTTTTTAGAAATAGACAATATATTTTTAATATTGTGTATGATTAAAGGTATTTAAAATAATTAATCAATCGTTCATTTAAGATCATTGATTTTCATCATTGTGAATGTCTGTATAATTCAGTATTGATAAAATAGTTATTTATTTATTTATTGAAATAATAGTTCCTACATTTCAGTGGCCTGAAGATTTACCATACTCCATATAAATCTGGAAACTTTTTTTGCAAATCCCCGAAGACGGACACATTTGAAGGGAATATTGAAATATATGAAGAGTATACCGGAGTAAATATATAGTGGCTACTTTATATGAGTTAACATAATATATTTATTCAAAAATTGATTTAGATCCCATTCAAAAACGAGGAAATATTGGTGTTTTACTATGAAGTATTTCTCCGGAAAATACTTTTTAGGTAGTAAAAGTGCTTCATAAAATTCATGTTGTACATAAAATGGTAAGAAATTGATGGTAAACTGAACTGTAGTTTATGACATTGCCATATTGCTTTTACTCTTAGGAAAAGTCAAGAAACTCATCTTTAAATATTTTTTTTTTACATTACATACACCGTTTATTTATTTATTCTTAATAACTATTTCAATGATCCATGTCATAATTATATGGATGTATAGATCATGTATTTGATTATCGTGATATAATAAACTACCGATATGATATTTATTTCTAAAAATAAAAAAATCCCAAATATGCTAAAAATATGACACTGTGATGATAGTTTGTAGTGGAATTATATTGTTCATCGAGTTTTTAATATATTAATTAGTGTGTTCTAGCACCTATACTTATACCTGCTGCTGGTCGAAGTATACCCATCCCTATTCGTTGTTTCGTTATTACCAGTAAAGTCTGATAATCAGATATATAGTGCGTTGGCGAAAATAAGGGATTCGATATTGTACTTAGAAAGACTTGTTCTAGAACCCCGATGATACATTGTGATACGGACGTTATCATAGATTTTGTGATATAAAAGATGAATCCTTGAAACGAAATCGGAAAAAAACACCGTAAAATACGGAACAAACGAATCGCGGCCCCCGAGTACATATAAATTACATCCTCAAGTGCTCGTCTTATTATACACCGAATACCGCAAGTGATGATACCAGTTACCCGGTGTGCGTGTGACGACAATACAAACAATAATCATAAAAATAATAATTTATACGGTTCGCGCGACGAGGAGACGTCGTCGTTTACGGCGGCGGGGGGGGGGGGGTCATCTCTCGTCGTCAAACCCCCGACGAGACGTTCTTTTTTTCTGTTCCAAAGTGTCAACTCCGCGAAGAGGACGACGGAAACGAGACGTTAGGCTTGTATGACGGTGGTAGACGCTTTGTGCGGCGGCGGCGATGACTACTGCATATATATATAATGTGTGTGTGCATGGACGGCGCGAGGGGGGGAGGTGCGGGGGCGGCCGCCGGCGTCGTCGACAGTAAGCCAAGCAACGCGCCCCGCGACGCACGTACTTGGTGTCACGGCCCTTATTATTTTCTCCGCGCACACGATACGAGTTTCTTTCGTCCCGACTGATAATATTATTGTTGTCGTTGTCATTCGTTCGGGTCGGCAATAGTCAAATTATTTTTTTCGCTGCACGGCACTGCAGCTGCTCCGCCGGGATTTCATTGAGATAATATTATAGTGACCGACGGAAAATCGAATTAAATTAAATCGCGATTGTGTTTGTATATGTTGTATGTGTGTGCGTGTGTGTATGGCTAGGTGTTCGACCGTGTGTTCTCCTCTTGGTTATTCTTCTCCTTCTTCTTCTTCTTCTTCTTCTTCCGTTTGAAATTAAGTCGAATCTGTCTCGTAGATTTCAGCTGAATTTCGCAAACGTAAGTTGTCCACGATATTATTATTATTATTTTGTTTATGTATATAGTAATTTGTGGCTCCACCGTACGTTATACATGAATCATGAATATATTTTTAATTTTATAGATTATATGTCGAATACTCATTTAATGCATTATCTCTTTCTGAACAGATTATTATGATATAATACTAATTATGTTACTTAAAACGATTTTTGTTTTTACAAAGTAACTAAAATAAAGTGTTATTCTTCTAGTACAAAGTTGTATTTGTATGGTAATTCCCTTTATTAGACATACTTACATTCAGGAAATAATATATAATTGAAAAAATTTAATTTCAAACCACGTATAAGAAATTTGATATTTGTCAATTTAGAATTTTTTTGGCTTACATTACAACGTGATAAACTATTTTTAGTTTCAATAAAAATATTATAATCATAGTGCTTCAGCCCTTTATTTTTGATTATTTAACTATTATAGTTTTATGATACATTTAATATTTTATGATATAACTAAAAATGTGTAAAATGTGTTTGTTTTTTTTTGGTTAAGCGATTTACGTATGAAAATAAACAAAATTTGTTAAAAAAAACTTCTGTTCTAGAGACATAACAAATAATACGGTTAACTTTCTTATACAATTATAATATGTATGACAGTATGAGAAACATTTCAAAATATCTTAAGGGAGTTTTTACGTATACCGCTGGGAACAATAACATTGTTTACTGTGGTATTATATAAGTACTATTTTTACATAAACGTCAATTTTGACTAGATTTCTGTCTAGGGAGTGTAAAAACATTTTTGAATTACTATAATTTTAATTGTGGTGGATTGTAAAGAGAACGTTTTACAAACAGCACACACCATAGATAAAAATAGTATGTATACATTTGTTATGAAAAATAGTTTTTAGATACATTTTGACCAATAGAAATGTACAATGTGAAATTGTTAGGTACTGTTGTTTGATAGAATATATTCAGTTTTCAAGTTAGATAATGGAAAATGAGATCGAGTTAATTCAAAAAATCCATATTGCATATAATATTTATTGTTAGCCATGTATTATAACATACATAAAAGCAAAAAGTTCATATTCTTTTTAATGTAATTTGATAAGTTTAGTTTTTAAATAGTTAAATGACGCATATCATTATATTACAATTATTTTAAAATTAAATAAAATTATTCTGAAAATTAATTTTAACTTTGATATTATTTATATATTTATTCAAAATTTGATTTTTATAGAGTATAAATAAATTGCAAATAAACAGATATTTGGTTCAGTAATTCTACGCAATAAAAATTAATTTTTCAAATTCAAATTTCCTGTATCATTTGCTTATAGTAGGTTAGGCTACTTTTACTGCTAAGTAAGGGGGCACACTAAATTAATACAGTTTCTGTAATCAAGCGAAAATCATATTATCAAATTCAAATTCAAAACATACAAGTTTGCAGTAACGATAACGGCAAGCTAATATAAAAAAACATATTATGATACATATATATTATCAATCCCTATCACTGCGAACTACCCGTATGGTATAAGTCGTCAAAGTTATAAATTATAGAAGCTAGAATTAATTTAATAACGGTAAAAACGAATTAAATTTTTTGGAGACTAATTATTGTCTACTGGGATGTAGGTATACGTGTGACCCAAAGTCCAATCTAATAAAAATGTGTTCAAAATCAACAATGGTATTTGGTTACTATGGAAACAAATGCCTCGACGGTAATAATGAATAGACACATCTCGGGAATTTATACGTATAGGTGATATTATAATGTATTCTATATTTATATACATATATATATGTATTAGGTATACACATAGCTGTATAGAAATGGAGAACTCAAATTATATATTTATATGTGCTATTATTATAAAAATTCGTTATTTACAATATCATGCAAAATGTTATTAAACACAGCATAATCGTACATAATATATAGGTAGCTACTACATGAATGGATGATACGTAAATGTAACACTTTCCTTTAATTGTATAATATTTTGTCTAGTAAGCAATTTTAAATTGTTATACACATTTAATTAGTTGCAATTATAAGTATTAGGTTTAAATAAAACAGTACGTTCATAGTAATATTAAACTTTTCCCAAAAAACCATGGAACTTTTGATTTTAAATTTTAAACCCTTATATAAAATTGTTTTTTTTTAAATGATCGATGCATTCCATATGGAATGATTGGAATGATTGCTCACTTAACAAATTATAGTTCATTAGTCATACAGTTATTGCGCGTACATTGCTAAGATCTAAGAGTAATGTTTAGAAAGCAAACTGTTGAAAGACAAAATATATTATTTTCCTTCTCAACTCTTTAAAGTTTCAAATGCGATTTAAGTGGAAACAATATATTTGATTGAAAAAAGGTTATACATAATATAATATTTTCTTACAGATATGAGTACGTATATAAATTTATATCCGTAGGTGCAATTTGATGCATTTACGAGTAATGAATATGTTTTATAAATATTTATTTATTTCAACAAAAATATAGACCGAAATTCCTTTATTGGGCACTCACAATGCTTCGCATCCCACTGTAAAATGTATGTAGATATGTAGATGTGAATTATTATTTTCAGTTTTAAAACATAAGTAACAGTATATATTGTTTAAAGAAGAGTATAATTTTTTTTTTAAGTCGTTAAGTGGTTTCATAAATTGATTTAATATATTCATGTAAATATGGTATTTTGAGTACCTAAAACTCCAATAAAATATTGTGAACAGACAATTTTAGTTTTTACTATAATAATTTTATATAAATCATAACACTTTTTTTATTATACATTTTAGTGTGCTGTGTGTAATAAATATTTTTTTTAGACAAATGGATAAGGAACTAAATATAATGCGATACGTCACACTTATGTTTTAGTGTTTGCGAAAAAATATTATAATTTAGTACAACCCATAACAAAGAATAAAGACTAAGTGACATTTCAAAAGTACTGTGAATTTCACAGTTTTTCGATTTTTTCAAAACGACTTATGTTTCAAGCGATAAAGGAAATTATAGGTGTATAAAAAAAACCATTAAGTTTATTTATTTCCAGCTAGTTAGAAAAATATAAATGTGTCTAGTTTATTTGACAAATACATCACAGATTCATAGCTGAATCCAAAATTACAATTTGTTGGCTTATACAATTTAAAGTCATAGAAGTGAGAGTGAATTTAATACATATCTTACCATGCACGACTCACGTGTAATGCTATGAATGTGAACCAATTGGTTGTCATTTTTATTTACAGCTAATTTAAAGGGAATACGGTTTTCGTCTAAACATCTCATCTAATCAACAAATATAGGTTGGCACATTTAGTTTGACAATCTCAAAACGAGTTCATCAGAACAGCATACATTATTATGTGTAAATACTGAATATAGGTATGTGATGTAAAGTCGGATTTTATCTTTTCGACAAACTTGCATTCACTGTGACCCAATGTCGATGCGTATATTGATAATGTCGTTCGAGAGAAGATAGATGTTTTTCCTCTTTTTATCCTCTCCTCTTTACCTTAATACATGTAAGTATGTAGAGCTCCGGTTTTAGGACTCTCGTGTCAATAGTGAATGAATAATGTATGGCGGCTGCTGTCCCGGGTATCCAGAGCTAAAATTATGTACGAAGTAAAATAACGTGCTTTAATGGAGATAACACGAAGGGGGTGAGGTGAGATGAGGTGTAGAGTAGACACTGACAAAAAACGCAGAGCCGTGTTACCTAAACCGGAAAACTTTATTAGATGGAAAAATATACCCGTCAGAAAAGGCCGTGTAGTTAGTTAAAATGGTTGGAATGACATTTTCGTGGTTATTTATGCAATTGAAAGTGTAAAATATAAATTATTTAAATAATTGGGTTTCGAACGTAATATGTTTACAAAACGTTATTATTCAAATCGATGTACGTACCCATAATGTTAGTCTTGTCTACATTTATGAATGTATTGTACTATATCAGCGTATTATAGTGTATCACAATAATTTAATGAATTAAGGTAATTATTTTCTAGAAAAGTAGATCCATAGGTAAGTGTAAAATTCATGTTTTATAATTTTCGAGTAGAATATTATTGAATCCTATTCATAATAATTAAACTTGAATTCCTTAATCATTTACCTGACTTTTAAAGGCTAAAACGTGGATGATCAGAACATTTTGTGTTGAGTGATGTATGTTTAAGTAGGTACATTTGTTAAATTTGTTTCTCTCCCATTTTTATGTGTAACAAAATGTAATCACACAACTAGCTTGTAATATGACAAGCATGAGACAAGACACGTCGTTAAAATGATTATATTCGATATTACGAGTGTCTATGACATGATGGAAATTTTTCATTATAATATGCAAAACATATTATTTTAATTTTTGTGTGTATTCTAACTTGTATTGTTATCAATTCAAAACTTTTAAAGTTAAATTTGTTTAAGAAATGTAATTAAGTAGGTAACAACAAGCCAGTAATATAATGTAGTTGATGATGAAAACCATCATAAAAGATCATCGATAGCCAAAATGGTCAAAATTGTCCTTTCTTATAGTACCGGATGAAAAGAAACCTTAAAATACTATAATCACCAAACAATACAATCTGTAACCATTGTGATCAAATTAATTATAAAATGAGCACAATTATTAAAATTATATTTTTCTTATATCTTATAAATCAGGTAGATAAATATTATTCGTGAGTTCAACATGTACCTATTGTTTTTTGAAAAAAAAAAAAGTAAAACATATGTTATATCCAAGATTTAATGTATCAAGATACAACTTCTGATTATTGAAATAATTGTTACGCATACTTAAAAATACCATATTTCCAAATATTTAAATAATTATCTTGCCATTTAAGAATGAAATTGTCATATTCCCATGGTATAGGTACAAACTTATTATTTTCAAACGAGAAAAATTTTTTTTTTGTGAATAATAATAATTGCTTACACAAT